GTAGAAACTAGTTTGATATGAAAAACAAAACAAAAGTAGAAAGAGGATCACAGACATTTTAATGCAAAATTTTTTAAACAGCATCAATTAAATAAATAAAATGGTCAACATTTTAACACCGTTACTGTTTAGGTTGATCAACAGAGACTTTTTCAAGCTGAATGTGGTTTTGTATTTATCCAGTAGGTTTATCATACAGCTTTCTTGTAAATGATAAAAAAGTATTTTTTTATTGTGTTGAAGTAAACATTCTTTATGTCCATCAGATATTTTGCAGATACTTCTGAAAACCAGTAAAGGCTGCAGCTCTTAGTATTGAGAATTCAGCTTTTTGATATTCTGATATACAAGTTCCTTGTATTTATTTAAAGAAATAATAGTTGTCATAAATGTTGAACTGGTACGTTTCGACCCAAGGGCAGCAGGAGGGTTAAAGATTTCTTCAACACTAATATCAAGGCTGGATAAATTTAAGTTTAGAGTTTGATGTCAACAACCATGAAAGAATTAAATCATGAAGATAAACTATTTATACATTTCAATGAATTAAAATATTTCAAATAATTTAGACTACAAATTRATAACAAAAACCAAGTTAAATATTGGTGGAAAGTGTAATGAAAAYGTATAGCTAAGCTGCTGGCATCCATAATCAATCCCTCTTTTATTTATTTTCTGAACTGTTTTAAAAGAACAGCACAGCATCTTTTTTATAGTGAAAACTATGTTTCAGGAGTTTCTCTAAAAAAGGGTATCGCCTGATTCAAAAGTGGTCCATGAGTTTCTACAACAAACTGTGTACAATGTTACCCATCGTATGGTGTAAACAAGCTACGGATGCTAAAATGTGAAAATCTTCAATTTAAAGCAGATTTTATTTATTCCTTCTGTGCCTCTCAAACTGAATATTCAACAAAATAGGCTAACGTCTAAAATCAGACAATTATACCAGTCATTGTCAGAAGAGGGTGCTATTGTCTGAGAATTTTGCTATGCTTTCTTAGGTTGTAGGCTCCTTTAACACTTTTATTTTTTATTTTTTTATTTATTTATTTTTTGTGACAAACATATAATACTGCTGTTTGGTCTCACTGGACAAACACAACAAAACGAGCTCTTCAAAATAGTGCAGGTTACTAGCTTAGTTC